GTAGTAGTAGTAGTAGTAGTAGTAGTAGTAGTAGTAGTAGTAGTAGTAGTAGTAGTAGCTTTATGCCCCCGGATGAGCGATTTGTCAGCGATTTTGCATACCACATTTATGGATAGAAATTTACAAAATGATACTAAATGAATCTGAAATCGCTATGGATATCATCTTTGTCATTTAGGGACAAGTAATTGCATGATTCTGTGGAAACTGTCTCCCTATCAACGAGTAGACGAGTGAGATATTGCAAAAGGGAATTACTATATGAAAAGGTATGTGCAACTGAAACTTCGAGTTTAAAGCATGTGGATGTTGTCGATACAGTTCGTTGAAGTTCATTGAGTGATGAATGTCTGTGCATGATAGAGTCTTCAAGTTTATCTCTTCCAATGCCATTGTATTTAGAGATCTTGCCAGTAACCAGTGGGAAGGTACGCATAAATTCACAAATCTAACAGTCAATTTGTGAGGAACAAAAAGCATTCTGAATCGGAGTGAGAAGTATGAAATCTTTCTAACATTACAGAATATGTCCTAAACGTGTAATGGTCATCATAATTTGTGTGGTAATGTGACACCAAAATATTCTACCATTGTTCATGTCGCTATGGGATCGTGATTGATAGAACTGGTAGGAAATCTATTTGTAAGGGCTGAATATGGTTTGTTGGTGAACATGGAAAACGCAACACCGTGAAATTTTGAGGCATTCAATGACAGGGAATAAGACAGGGACCAAATAACATTGTTTAGCTTGCTTTTAAATCATGACGCCTCTTCAGGGCTGGATGGTGTGCATACTAAAACAACATTGTCTGCGTATTCACAAACAATGAATGCAGAGGGAATGGGAAATTGTTTGACTTAAAATGAAAAGAAAAAAGGAGAAAAAGTGCACTTTGCAGAACACCGGAGACAAGCGGGAAAATAGATTTCTTGCCGTTCAGGCACATGGAATGCCTTCTATCAGTGAAATAATCCCGGATCAATCTGCAAACGTTTGGAATATCGCCTTTTACAGCACTCAGATTGAGCCCAGAGCATTTTTATAGTCTAAAAATACTATTCTGAGGGTCTTACACTACCTATTCAGAGTTGAAAGTATCGTGTGAATAAGGTAAGCAGCGACATTCAGTTTTCAGTGCGAAGAGTGATATACAAATTGATGTATATATTCGGTAAGATTGGCTAAGATCATTGCTGGGATCCTGGATGCTTCTACGCATCCTGTACAAAGTTTGATGAGTCACTAAATAGTTCCGAGATTTCCTCTAGGCATCGTTTATTTGCTGCGGTCTTTGAATCGATTATCAATTCAAATTCTACTCGTTAGAACCAATAATTTTCCTGAATGAAATCAGATACCACTGGAATTCTAACAGCAGCGACAACACCAGCACCCATTCATATCCGCCACAGAGTTCCGTTGCATAGGGTCAGCGAGTGTATCCAAACTCCACGTGCACCTTTATGACATATACGCATGCGCGCCCGCACATACACACACACACACACATCTGTGGTGAGTGACTCAGGTTGTGGTGAGCGAAAATAAAATTTTCCCTTCACCCTATTGGTCCAGTCCATTCAATACCCGCTCAGGAGGGCAGTTTCGCCCCAAGGTTTATATGTCCAGAATGACAAAGCGATTTATTCGGTGACCCGGTGCCGGCAAAAGTGACCATGTCAGACCACCGTCGCGTCGCGTTACGTCCGTGGTCTGTGGTGGTTAGGGGTGAAGGGGAAGGGAGTAAATGGTTGAAAGGATGGATCACTGCCGTCAACAGGCGTATTCAGTCATCAAACCACTAAACCCGTTCCCGCTGTCCTGTTAACCCGAATCAGGCTGATAAGTAGACACCGTAGACATTACGTGTCTAATCGCAGTCCGCTCTGTGCTGCAGCCACCGCAACCGTTAGTGCTTCTGAACGGGAAAATTGTTGATGGTTGCCAAAGTGAGCTGCTGCTCTTCGATAGGACCACAATGGTCTTTCTTTCGTCGCGTGGAACATTCAATGGTTAAACGCACTGAATGAATCACAATCTTGATAACCCCCTATCCATGGAGTGCAAAACATTTTTCATATGCCCCCATATGAGTAAGTCGCTCACACTAGGCCAAGCTATATTCTAACATCCTGATCAACCCAGTGCAGGAAATAAACACTACATATACACCCATACATACACTAGAGGGAGTGAAACAGATCAATGATCATTAGGCCTGTCGATATTGGTAAGGTCGTTAGCGAGACCGACCAGTCACGTGAAAGCCGATCCGAGCGAGCTGTGGAATGATTCGATTTCTCGTCACAATAACTTCTCGTCTTTATCTGGGTTAGATGTTCTCTTCCAAAGCAAGTGGAACAGTCCGGTTGTATCGTTCAATCAGATGCCGCCTGAGGGGGGAGGGACTTCGCCGAGTACCACCTCTACATTGTAAAAATATCCCACTATTATTCATCATGTCACTATCACGGTGATGTGCTTTTTATAATTGAATGGATGGTCAGTTCTGGGGTACTAACTGCCTAAACAGATGTTTTCAAAGACGAGGCAATGGTATTACCGGGAATAATGTTACCACTAGTAGCCTCAGTATAACTTTCACCAATGGCTGCGTTACTGATATCGCTAACAACAGTAATAGTAGTGGCAAATGATGCGATTAGAAGGCAACTAGTCTGCTAATCAATATACATATCATCAATACATCACACTATCTGATGATACTAAATAGCGTTAGCTGTTCGTCGTATGCACCAATGATCTAGATCTCCTGATATCGCTGACACTCAGCGACCAAGTATCGCAACCATAAATCAACATTTGGCGATTGTCAACGTAGAGGAAAAAAAGTAGAGTTACTGCTGAAGGGAAATCTCGCTCTAAAGCTAAATCGCCCTGTGAAAATGATGGTTGGCTCCGAGTGTTTTCTACACGTGGCCAGTTGAAAGAATTGTGAACCCTAAATGTGTGAAAACCCCAAGCATGTTCAACCGATTGGTAGATTTCGAACCGTAGATGGTGTCTTGGTCACGTTTTAGTGAGATTGAAGATCCCGTAGATCTCATTTAATGAGTTGCCGGAATCGACTATCGAACCCTCCAGCCGTGTAAGTAAAACGATGCAATTCCATGACCGTTGAAATGAATTAGCAGCTAACTGACTGCAGTGGACAGAATCCGCTTCTCATCGTACTCCCCCCATCTCTCTTTCACTTATCTAACGCTTCCGTATGGTGAAAGCACTTCAAGCCAAAAAAGGTAATTCATCCATTCCTTTCAACTTCTTACTCGTTATGCTACAGTTTGTCTCTGTTCCAACTGAAGAAATTACTCAATCTCAAACATTCCTCGGGTGTCCGCAATCACCCAGGTTCGATGGACTGGATCACATTACCCGGATTGTTGATCATGTTCTTGCTATACCATCTCACATAGACCATGGCCGAATTGTGACAATATATTGACCGACTGAGAGAATGTGCACATATACCTACATGGTTCAACGACTGCTTCATTAGCATAGTCGGTCTCTGTGATGCTATAGACTGTTTATTTCTCGTTGTATGACTGAAATGGAGTAGTCCGGATGACCGTGGTCTGTTTCACACTTCGAAAACCGCTTTCTTGTCGTTGGGAGTATATAAGTGCAATTCAGCTGTACCACTATGATCTGTGCTGAGTTCGAATTAATCAATCTCTTACTGGATATATGTATATATCGCCCGCAAACTGTCATTTCAACCGCATGCCTGTTGTCCTTAAAACAAGCATTAGCTTGGTTACTAACTAACTAACTACTTGAGGTGTATGGTTTTGTTGCCTTTACCACCACCACTACCCAAAGTTATAAATGTGTTTGGATGAATTGAGACGGTAAGCAGTGGCAGCAGGAGGTAGGGTGAGGGACGAGGAGTCACAGACAACTAACTACCTTGTCAGTTTAGACAGCAGTATTTCTTCGAAGGTGGTCCCTCGGACCATGACTGTGTGCGTGCGTGCCAACGCAGTACGCGCATGCGTTCACGGAATGCACGGGTCTTGAAGTTGAAACAACCAATGCGCGATTGGCACCGCCTAACGCACCATTCACAATACAGAGAGAGAGAGAGAGAGAGAGAGAGAGAGAGACGATCCCCGAGTACGATCGTCCGTCAGTCCACAAACAAGCAAGCACGCACGCACCCGTCTGGTCACCGACTGCAGGATACGGTGCCTGATACACACACACACACACACACACACACACACCTAACTGCTTAGGAGTCATTGGAAAGCAATATTCGCTTTGTGTTGGAAAGTTATTAAAGATAATATACCCTATGACCAAGCAAGCATTGAAATTTATCTGCCCAAAACGGTAATTTCTGGGAGAAGAGGCTCACCAGACAATGCCTGGGAAATTGTCACGCGGAATGAATGTTTTACTGAGCTTACAGAAATCTCTAAGGGTTTCACTATTGTCATTTATCTTCACATGAGGCATCATCATTCCTTATAGGATTCGAATCCGGGGATGCGGGGTTGTTAATCCGACACATTTGGTGAGTCCTCAGGAGCTTGTTACATGCGAATACTATATCGAATTAGGCTCTTTCATCACTGCCGGCGTTCGTGTTGAATTTTAAAGCTACCAAGTGCATAATCTCACCCAGTTCGACTGAGCCGGAGGTTTTCACTTGAAATGGTTTCCGACTTTAATCTGTTCGCCACTGTCCTATATGTTATCCGTATACCTATGCGTACACCTGTGAACATGCACAAATACATGCTATACATTTCAAAGCAATATATTCACACGCCTTCCGATTTGTTCAGGTGCAAGCTACGGATGCGGATGAGGGAGACAACGCTCAGATCACGTATTCTCTTTTGGACCGCGCCAATTTCAAAGTGGACTCGTTGACTGGTTGGATTACTGCAAATGTGGTGTTTGATCGCGAGACGCGTGATTCATATCAAGTATGTGCACGTGGTATCTCTATGGTGTCCAGAATCTGTAGATGAAAACTTGCAAAAGCATTAGGATCTTGCAAAATGTTTCGTCACATTCGCATGTGTTCCTTTTATATTGGAACCACTCACGCTCAAATTCAGGTTGAAAGTCATATTTCTGTGATGAACTAAGTTTCTCAACCGGAACCCCTCAGAGGTCAAATTCAGCTTACTGCTGCAATGAGATCAGATTTGTTTGACAAAGAAATTCATAAAGCTGTTCTGAGAATATTGATTTCTGTCCACAGTGGTACACACGCAATACGCGGTGTGGTCACCGTCACTCTTAGCTGTCACGAGCAATTATCCATATACGTGAAGAAAGCCGCCAACTGGTTGTCGTCCTGAGCAGACAGAGGATCGAAATGGTAGCAGGTGCTTTCATACTTCGCTGTAAACCACACGATCTGGGCATTCACTTTTCTCGCTTTAGCGTGTTTGGTTCTACAACCACTTATTGTACTGTATTGTATTGATAGAGGGTATGGTGACTGACACTTAAAACCAAATGTGCTCATTTATCCTAGAGATTTGAAATTGATTGCAGATCAGGAGCAAAGCATTCTGTGGTTTCTGTTATGGTATATGATAAGAAGTTGTATGGGTTCATTAAGTTGCTGCAACATGTCTATTTTTTGCCGAAGTGTGTGGATCTTGGTGGTTGTGGTTGGGCTGTCTCACAACAGTCAGTTGATACGTCATCTTACCTAAGGAAGATTATGGGTAAAGTACCTATAGAACTGTTCCATTTTGAATCCCAAGTTGTTTAACACCATTATCCGCCACTCTCTCCCTTTGCATTAATGCAAGCAAAAAGGCCACT